CCCCCCCCCCCCCAAATTAAATGCCTCCCTCAAATAAGGGCCACGCATCTTTTTCCAAATTTGAATTAAGCAGCCCAAGTGCTACATGTATTTCAGGGATTTACTGTATTAGGTTATCAATCAATCTATCTTTCAGGTTGGTCACTGCCATGTTGACTGGTGTAAAGTGTTGGATAAGTAGAACTATTTTATATCACATCATAGAAAATACAGTGCCCAACAAGATCAAAGGGACACATGATGGGAAGTATGCTCATCTAAATGTGACAAAATATCAAGTTTACCTGAGTTTTTCATGTCAACGAATAACTTACAAATCAAGTCATCTACTTTAATATCAAGTTGTCTATTTTTTTATGTTGAAGTGAAAATTTATATATCAATTTCAGTAGATTGTCATCAACTGCCAATTTTTAATCTCAAGTACATATTTGTATATCAAAGCAAACAAAGATATTTCAATGTTTTTGTTGCAAACATTTTCATGCCAAGTTTGCCAAGATATATAAATCAAGAAGGCCTGGTGACTAGCTTCTTGCTTGTCAGATGCCTGATGCACATGTCTATGTATTGGCGTGAAAACAATAATGGCGGCAGAAAGTAGTGAGAACTTCAAGGAACTCGTACATAGGATAATTCACAATGTAAACAGAACCGAAAGCAGTAATGGCAGAGCTAACACTCGAAGTGTTTCTGTTTCAGTTCTAAATAGAGCAAACAATACCAAAGAAGAACTTAATCAATGGTTCACACTTCCTCAAAGTTGCGAAGCACCTTTGAGTTCAAATAGCACTCATGCTACTGCTCAGAATGTTGCTGCAGAATTCAACCCAAACAACAACCATGACTATAACAATTACCGTTTCAGACGACGAAATTATCCAAACAGATCTTTAAGGCAAAGATGAAGAAATTCATAGCTGCGGCCATGTTGATTGTTAAAGCCTGTAGTTTCTGGACACCTCGTGCTCTTTTAAAAGGTCATCACCAGGCCTTCTTGATTTATGAAATTTGTTCGTTCAATGAAATTGTAAAGGCAAGGGAAAATATAATACCTGGTACAAATATAGGAAGCTTGATATCAAAGCAAGAAACTTGATGTACATATATGTACTTGAGATTAAAAACTGGCAATTGATGACAATCTAATAAACTTGATGTATAAATTTTCACCTTGACATAACAAAATAGACAACTTGATATTAAAGTAGATGAATTGATGTGTAAATTTAATGTCGACATGAAAAACTGGTAAACTTGATATTTTGTCATATTCAGACAAGCATAGTGGAGATTGGGCAGAATAGCATCAAATATACAATTGGCTGCATTTTCTATGGTATAAAATGTAGAAATACATGGGTTGTATATTAGTATTCATCTTTCTGTAAAATAACAGCTATGCATTCCAAAAGGTTTTATACATCAAATAAGACAGTGTACCACATATCTATTAAAGGTTTGACATTTTAACTGCTCTTATTAACATTTAAATTGATAAATGTTTCTTGACTTAATGTTGCCATTATGATCTTTTGTATAATTTGTTTGTACTTTTAAAAGTATAGCTATAGATTGCTTGGCTTCCAAATATAGGGCTTCTGGATGCCATAGTGAAAGGCAACATGATGTGGTTATACTTTTTTTAGTGGGAATAATTTTAGTTCATGAGAAAGAACTTAAGCAATAGTATGATTATAATGATGATATCAAGTATATATTCTGTATGTAAGGCAGTTACACAACCAGAGATGAATTCAAAAAGAGAAGAAACCATTTTGTGATGTAGAAATAATTTTCATGAAGTAGATAAGTTTTTCATTTTAGTAGAAATAAATGATTTATCTTCCAAAAATCTTGTAGCAAGGATCAGTCCTTCAATGTTCTGCTATTTCCTTGCAAAGAAAGCGTAAATCAAATTCAGCTTAAATAATTATGACAGATTGATGAGACATGGTAATATCAATCATACATGTGTGTAACCGTCAGTACCAATTATTCTTATAGTCTAATGTTTCCAAACAAAAACAAGTAGATTACATATACTGCATGAAATTGACAGTATTGCTGCATTACTACTACTGGTATCTAGATACGTCACAGGCAGTCCAAGCTCTCTCTATGAACCACACAAGCAACACAATATGGCACAATAAGGGTTTATATGGGATTTTCTACAAGATATCCATAGAGGTAGTTAAAAGTGAAATTCTCAATAAAAATGGCTTACCTTATTCCATACGTGTGTTGTTTGTTCCTGGTGTGGTTATTTTACTGATGTAACCTATTGGGAAAAAAAACAACTTGATTTTAGTGACCTTTTTGAATTCCGGTTTTCCCTTCATGAAGGGGGAACCGGAATACAAAAAAGGCGCTTAAATCAAGTTAAATCGGTAAAATAACCACACCAGAAGCAAACAACACACGTATGGAATAAGGTAAGCCATTCTTATTGAGAATTTTCACTTTTAACTACCTCCATGGATATCTTGTAGAAAATCCTATATAAACCCTTATAATTCAATGCCATATTGTGTTGCTTGTGTGGTTCATAGGGAGAGCTTGGGCTGCCTGTGGATGTTCGCGCTAAAATGTTCCAGTCGATAGATTTTGTTACATTTTTGCTGCAGTCAGATAATTAGTTACTTGTGTCAGAAATGCAAAAAAAACTTCGGGGTCACCGACTTCGTTTCAGAGATAAAGCATGTGGAAGACTAGTGGAGGGGGACAGGGGGGCGGGAGCCCGGGAGAATAGGGGGCGGGAGGGGTACGGGAGGCGGGAGAGGA